GAACTCATGTGGAAGCGGCTTTAGATTCTCAGTGCTGTGCTTTAACCCACTGCGCCACCAGGGAGGGCCGATCTATTGACTTTTTAACCAAGAAATGTCAGGACTTGAAACCCACTCACCAGCCTCCCAGCAGTCTCCCCCAAAACACACACAGACAATACATCTTTTTTTATCCTCCTAATATCCCAATTTCAGATTAAATCATATTTTAAAGTTACTTTTGTAAATAATGGCGACACCAAGCTATGTATATTGTGATTGTATTTTTTCTGTACCAATTTTTGTTTTTTCTAGATTTAATAATTATCTTTTTATTTTTTACTTCTTATATATTTATCATCAGTACTTAATCAAGCTTGTCAACAAAACTACAATTTCTTCTTAATATCAGGTCATCTGTTGGTCCTGGTTTTGTCCTTGAAGGTATTATTTTTGGAGCTTTCACTATCGTTATTCACTCTTGCTCTTGCTCGGTAGGCTGCTTCCAGGTGGAAACCTTGCAGCTTCATCCGTGCTTTGTGAGCTTTCTTTGTTTCTGTCTTCCAGGATTGCATGACTTTATTTACTATTGGTAAACCTTCTATTTTGTTCAAATAGCTTTTTGAGAAACAGTAAGTGTGAGATAAATGTCTTTACTCTCATATTTGATTATGTGTGGCTTTATAGGTGTGATTCATTTCTCTAAGATTATTATATTTAATTTTTAAGATTATTTTTATTTGCCTCCAGGGTGGTCTTTGGTGTGTCTACGTTTAGTGTTCTTTTTTCTTCGTTTTCCCCTCATTCATATTAGAGCTACTCCTGAAGTGTGTGTTGTTTCTGGACTGTCCTTTCATACTTGAGAATGAGGCCTAGACAGTCAGCCTCGTTACACACAGTGGCCTGTTGGGTCTTTTGGTGGTTATTCTCCGATGCTAGCAACTGCTGGCTTTTCTTTGGTACTCCCTAAAATCAATCTACAGAGGCATCTTCTAGTTTCTTTTTAAAAGCAGTTGGCCCTCCCTGGTGGCGCAGCGGGTTAAAGCACAGCACTGAGAATCTAAAGCCACTTCCACATGAGTTCGATTCCCGGCTGCCCCGGAGGTGACCACATGGTGTGGCAGACCTCTCCTGACCCGCCCGCTGCTCCCCTCAGCAGTGTACTTCGTCGATCGGCTTGTTCTGCTCCCCACTCTGTCTCTGGTGAAGCCTCTCGCCGCCCCTGAGCCTCTGGCCTGTACCCCAGTTCTTTATGCACAAATAAATAAATCTTTAAAAAAAAATAAAAGCAGTAAGTCAGGTTAGCAATAGCCTGGAACTTGAGGTTGGCTAGAATGGTGCTGAATCTCAATGTGTAGCAGACTGTTACTCAATCCCTGCTTTTAGTCCCGGTGCCTATACTTCTGGAGCTTCTCTTGTTGAATATTCTTTAGAGTAATCCTTCTCTCCATGTGCACTGAAGAAGTGCTCCAGCTGACTGCTCAGGGAAGAGATTTGGGGGTCCAAGCACCCCTGACCAGAATGTTGCTCACAGTCTTATTTGCAACCCGCCTTTACCATTACTTCAGTATGATCTTCAATTTCTGAGATCTCTCAACTTTAAAGCTAAAAGATAAAAATGTATTTAACTTGTAACTGAGGATGAGTTTATAATACTTGTTTAAAAATATTTGTAGGGAATTACAATAATCTTTAAGTTTGGGAATGTTTGGGAATAGGGAGAGAGGAGAGAAAAAGAATAGATTCTCACATTTACCCCTTCCCTCCTGGCTGCTCATCAGGCCATCTTTGACCATAGTTTGACTGTATTTCTATACTTTGCCAGTAGATGCCACTGCAAAATGCATACTATGCTTTTGTCTTTCGAAAATGTCTTAAGTTAGAGGTAAATTACATAAACTAGGTCCCCATTGTTTAAATATTTGAAAGTTTATATTTTATTTTCATTACTCAGTGACTTCTTAATTCATACCTGCAATGCCATGTATACTGGCCTAAATATTTATACATTAATAGGATATTAATGTTTGGGATTGTCCAGTCCAAAATTCAAAATATTTAAATTTTCTCATTTAAAAATATGAGAGGAATTTTTGATAAATTTTATATATCTCCTTTACTGCATTTAACCTAAATACAGTTCATTCAGTGAATTATATAATCTTTAAAATTCAGCATATTTATTCCTGTAGAAAAAATGAGAAAAAAGGGCAAGGTGACTTTGATATCACTTAAAACATTTTTTTTACAACTGCAGTTGACACTAACATTCTTTTATAATTTATTATCTTTTGAGCCATCTCTAGAACTTTCTCATTAGAGATTCTCAGAAAAGCAAGTCATCTTCAATGTGTTTCATTTTGACTAATTTTATCCTCCCTGGTGATACGAGTTAAAGCATAGTACCATGAAGGTATCACAGCCATTGTAGCAGTGTTCGATCCCTAGCCAGGGAGGTGACCCACATGGTGCGGCAGAACTCTCCTGAACTGCCTGCTACTCCCCTCAGCAGTGTACTTCAGCATATCTGCCTGTTCTGCTCCCCACTGAAGTACACTGCTGTGGTGAATCCTCTTCTCCTTCTCCCACACCCTGCCCCCGCACCTCTGGCCTGTATCCCAGTTCTGTATGTGTAAATAAGAAATCTTTGAAAAAAAAAAATAGTATATGGCATAAACCTAATAAAGCCCTGCCGGCTCCCTCCACTTGTAGCAGAATCTCAGTGTTCAGTGTGAAAGCCCGCCACACTTGTGTTCTTGATCTCAGTGTACTAGATTTGTTTCCTTAGGAGTACCCCATTCATCCTGCTAGCTCACTGTTCTCATCTTCTAGCTTGCCACTATCGCTCTTATTTGTTCCTTTTGTGGGGCAGAGATTGGTGGGCCTTGGAGAATTTCTCTTGTTCCTGCCAAACTCAGTGAGTTGGTCCCCTAGACTAGTCTGCCAAAGTGGAAGTACTTTTATAAAATGTATTATTGCAAAAAATAATAATAGGAATAGTAAAGTATATATCTTTTGTCTTACTATTAAAAAATGTACAGTGTTCATTACCAGGTCATCTCTTGTGTGTATCAGCTGTAAACTGGTAATATGAAGGTTAAAAAAATGGTTCTTTTCTTAAGAGCTATTTTCATGAAACATTTTCCAAGCTTGTCTAGTCATAAAAATCACCCGTGTTACTTTTTAAGTGATGCAGCTATTCAATACCCTAATCTGGAGATTGTGATTCTCTAGAGTGGACTCTGGAATTGACATTTTGAACAAATGTTGGATATGATTCTGATGATTAGGCAAATTTGGGAGATCAAATTTGGCAGTATCATACACTGAGACCTCTGCAGTTTTCTTCTAATTTTCCTTCTTTATTAGGACCAGCTATATAATTGTGAACAATTGTATTTCCAATGTTTGTTAGGGAAGGTGGCTTATACCTTAAAACAAATCATGCAGTGAACGAGTGAAGGTGAAAACTTTCCATTTTTATTTTAAGTCACTATAAAAGGCACTGTTTAGATAGCACACCCCAGGTAGAAAATGGGGGAGGCTAATGGTCACAACACACCCCCTTCACATTTGGTACCTGTGTAGCCTTTGCAGTGATAACCCAGGATGGCGATCCCCTGACTTCCAAAAAGAGCTCTCTTCCATTGTTGGATAACTCTAGTTTTTTCTTCAAATGGACCCAAATCCTTTCTTCTATTTTCTTTCTGCACTGGTTTTAGGTCAGCCTTCTAGAGCAGGACCTGCAACCCAAATTTATTCAGCTTCAGACTTTGTATAAAGAAACAGTTGATTTCAGGATTTTCAAAACACTTACCTATTGACCACAATTGTTCCAGTCTCTGTTTTGCTTTCATCAGTATTAACTGGCTTAATTTCTTCCTTCCTTAATTAACTCTCCTCGTGTTAGGCTGCAGTAATGTGTTTTCAACACCTCCTTCTTGGACATGTTTTTTGACCTTTTAGGAACTCAATTTTTTCACCCTTGATTTAAGAGTAATAATACTTAGAGTTCGTTTTAAGATTAAGTTAAATGTAAAAATCTAGATATGCAATTGAAAGAGATATCTTAGTTGTAGCTTAAGTTGTTTATTTAAAGTATATTGTATGTCTAAAAGTACATCTTAGTCTGTTACCATATGTCATATATAAGTATATCATTTTTCTGTCAACCTCCAAATCAAGGAAGAACTAATTTACCTTGTTGAAATGATTTCCTTTTAGAAAAACGTTAAAACTTGTTTCTAATGATTCTCATTCTTTACTTAAAAGTTTTACTGTTTGATTTATAAGATTAAAGCCATATCCTTTGAAAGTGTTGATTAACTTTAGAATTATATTTTCAAGTTTAAAAGCATATTGTCACTTTTAATACTATTATAAAAGCGATCTTATTTCTATTTTCAGCATTGCAGGGGGTCAGATACTCTCAGTGATAAAGATGCAGTTGATTAAAGGCCAGAACAGCAGGGATCCTTTTTATAAAGCAGTAGAGGAAGTTGCTCAGGGTTTGGATTTGAGGATTAAAAATATTACCAATTCTCAACAAGAAGATGTAGCTGTGAACACCACTGACATCAGTCCTGCACGGGTAATGAGCTTTTTATTTATCATTATCCTTTCACAAAACATTTTATTTCTTCTTGTAGAAATTGTTTACTATTGCTCCTTAAGTCAGACAAATGTGTTTCCTGTGTTGTAAGATGTTGTTGAAAATTTCTCAATAGGATTGTGTAGGATTATGTTTGAGTTGGATAAATCATAATATCTTTGGGCCAAAGTATTTGTATTTGTTCAAGTAGGGGATTGGAACATCTTCAGCATCTCTTGCAGCACTAAAGATCTATAATTCTTGGTGGATAGAAAGGGGTTTTGCCATATTTTTCAGTAGTTAATTTTTATAATAAACAACCATTTAACCATTCACTCAGATTTTTAGAAGCCTGGTTACTCTGGCTCTGCCCCAGTGCCAAGAGTTTGTATACAGCCGTGACAGAAATGTAATTCGTATTTTCTTTTCTACCTCTAAGGTCTCATTTTCTTTCTCCATTGCTACACTATTGCAAATATTGCGAATTTCTCCTATACTTAGAAATCTTTTAACTATATATTTCTATGACATTTGTCTTTTTTTTTTCCACATAGAGAATGAAATGTTTCTCACCATTACAACTATTACAGCATTATACAGGGGAGCTTGACTAGCTTCCTTTTAGGTCTAGAACAGAATCTGGGAGTATGTGTTATAATCCATTTGTTGCAGTTTAATCTATTAACAAAAACCCCTTTTCATTAGGTATGATTTTAATAGCCAATGTATGAAGAAATACTTTACTTATTTTTTTATTGCTCATTTACTTATTCACAGCCTTTTGAGACTGATTTTCACTATAATAATGCAAGATTTTATATTAATTTGAACGTTGGTGATGGGTGGGGACTCGGGGTTTTTGCCTCATATGTGTTAACACTTCCTCTAACCAGCTTGGCTCTGATGAAAACCAGGTTATTGCTAGAAGTATAAATCAGGAACTGTCTCTACTCAGGAAATTAGAAGTCCCAAACTCTCCCATTTCCTGTTATAAGAAATAACCTAATTCTTAATGTTATGTTTTTAACCAAATCAGAGCCCTTTGCAAAATATTGTAATGATTCTCCACAAAGTTGATATTAAGCAACATGAACTTGTCTGGCACTGATGAAATATGTATGTTCAGCACCATATTGTGATAGGTAATTTGTTATAATTTCAGTATAGTTATATATTATAGTTCATCCTGTAGGCTGAGTGAGCCAAGTAGAAAAAGGAGGCCAAGACCATATTGATGAAAGCTGAAGAAAGTGGCTTGTCTCACATGCATGTCACAGCAGGCAACTTTGATATTTAGGCACAATGTTCAGCAACTCTGTGGGCTAGGCACTGTCATCACAATTTTATTGATGAGTTTAAGTAAAGCACAATGAAGTCATGCAATTTTTTCAATTATACAGCACATACCATGGTAATTTAGCATCAAACCCAGCTATAGTTGTACTTATACATATGTGTGTGTATACATATATATATATATATATATATATATATATAATATTTCCCTTTCTCCTCTTTAGTCATTAAGTTGTTCCAGGTCTCCCCTTTTAATCTTATCCAGGTTCATCTCACATAACTCCCTCTCTGGTTACTCTACTTGTTAGCCATTTCATGCTACCTGGTATCTGAAAGTGTCATGTTCTCTCTTACTGCTCTCTCTTACTCTTAGTGTTTACTTCTTGCAAGAAGCCATCCTTGACTCCAGGGTAATTGATCATCCCTTTTGTGTGTTCCCACCACACTTTGAGAAACAGCACTTAGCACCCTGTAATGCAGTTAGTTATTGGTTAATTTCATTATCTGTCTCTAAAACATTTCCTTTTTCTTGGTGACCAACCAGGTTCTTTGAGGAAGTGGTTTCTGTCTTTGGAGCTTCAGCAACAAACACAGTGCTTGGGACATAGTATATACTATATACTTATCTCAGGCTATTGGATGAACAAATGTCAAATGGTTTTTCATCTTTGCATTTGATAAGATCTTTTTAGCTATCTGTGTTTAGATTGCCATAACTCCATCTCTCTTTGGTATAAGAGAGCAAACACGTAGAGAAGTCAATTCATGATACTGAGGTCAAAGAAAGTGGCTCAATTTTCTGATTTAAAGTCTAATGTTATTTTTTTTTTTTATCAGAACCTATTGTCTTCCTTTGAGAGTATTATTTTCTGTATTCTTTTGTGCTTGGGGAAGTTGATGAGATTGATTTTAGTATTGTAAGGAAGAAAAATGGGTTAGAATGGCTTAAAGCCACATTTTGTAGCTGCTTTTTAATTACTCAAACAATAGAGGAAGAAGGGAAGCAGTAGCACATTGAATGAAGAGTGGTTGATTGACCCAGCTGGAGTGATCATTATATTTACTTGAAATTATTTTTGTTCTAGCCAAAATCTTATGCCATAAATCATGGGACCGCATACTGTGGCAGAGATACTGTGAAAATGTTACTAGATCTTCTGGATGAAGAAGCAGCCAGTTCTCCTACCGGTAACAAAGCAGAGCTTTTATATGGTGATGAAAACCCAATTCATCATCCTGGAATTTCTATCCTTACACTTTTTAGGTAAGTAATGTATAGGTTAGATGTGTGGATGTTAATTCTAGTCTTTAGGGGAAGTTTTGGAAAATCATTTCATTGATTAAAAGAAAGAAATTCATGCTGTGTTAGGAAATTTGAGAAGACAAGAATGTGAAGAGCTTATATATAAAAAGGAAACATTTTGTGAAAGTATGACAGTGAGCCAAATAGATTTTTTGGTGTCCTTTTATTTTTTGCTTTGGAAATATTTTCTTGTCTTGCTTTGTATGTCAAGAACCTTGCTGAAACTTTTGCTTATATTATTTCAACGGTCTTACAACAACCTTTTGTGGTATTATCTCCATTTCTTGGTGACGAATTAGAGACTTGGGAGAAATATATAAGTAATTTTCCTAGGAGAACTAGTTGGCAAGAGCGAAAGTGTCTTTCTCTAAAATTTGAGATCTCTGTTCTCTAAGGATTGTGTAACACATGTTTGCACAAGAACAGCCTTACATTGGAATTTAGTATTTATTAATTCTTGGCCACATTATGAAGTAAAGTACTTACTAAATTAGCGTTGGTATTATGTACAAGACTACACTTTTAACAGTTCAAGCATTGAGTTGGTCAATGATATTTTTAATTGAACATTTATGTATAGACATTTAAAAGCTATTATAAACAGCCTTTTGAGGTTGTATATAGTACATTTTAGAAATTTTTGCAAAATCATCCTACTGTTTGATCCTTTTTTTCTGCTTGAGCTACTTCCACAAATCTAATTTTGGACTAACAATTATTCATACCCATCCATGGTTCCTAAATCTACTTTATTCTGTGCTTTACTATCTTTTATAGTTTCTCTAAAAAGGAAAACTTGTGTTGGCCTATCATTCCATGTTGTCCTCTAATTCTTTTAAATTTCATCTTCTCTGAGTTTCCATGATTATTCTTTTACATGAAGGCACAATGTAATTCTTGCACATTTTACACCAAATATGGTCAAATGGTCCAATTTTTCTTTTTTAAAGTTTTATTTATGCATACAAGAACTGGAATAAAGGCGAGAGGTGCAAACAGGTAAGAAGATACACCAGAGACAGAGTGGGGAGCAGAACAGGCAGATTGAAACAAATACACTGCTGAGGGCAACAGCAGGCTAGACAGGAGAGGTCTGCTGCACCATGTGGGTCAGCTCCCTGGCAGGGAATCAAACTCATCCTGCAGTGGCCTTGGATAGCTTCATAGGGCTGTGCTTTAATGTGTTGTGCCACCAGGGAGGCCCTGGTTAAATTTTCTAACAATAAATGCTTGTTTTGTCAATGACTTATTTGAATCCAAAAAAAAACCAGTGTAAAGAAAATAAACTTTTAATTCCTTTTACCTGGCTTCTGCTTTAATAAAATTTGCTTTTAGGTAGAAATGTAAATTATTTTAATTTTCTCTTCAATCAAATAGACAAATGTTATTTGTTTATTATTTGTCCTGTTTATAGAATTTTTTTAAAGCAAAACTAACCCCCACTTTCATCTTAAAAAGATATTTTTCTGTCCTTAATCACATGGCCAAACACATCCAATTGTTCACAGTTGCCATAGCTTTTCCAGTTGTCATTGTGCAGACAATTACCAGTCCATGTAACCATCTGCATTGGGAAGATAAAATGAAGAACAATGTGATGAATGAATATAAGTAAATGTAAGGTCATCAGCTATTTCTTAGAATAGACTATCCTTTAATCTTAATAATGGTCTTTTCAGTCCAAGAAGTCATGATCTCAGTTCAGCTTTATTAAGTAAAAAAAGGACATTATCAAAGGGTGCAGGTTTCTCAGGCTCTCAAATTCCAACATCTCTTTCTCTATTGTGCCTTCTCTTTCCCTACAACTTATAAACTGTATTTCCCTCTTGAATTTCCTTGGTATAGCACTCGTCTTTTTTTTTTTTTTTTTAAGATTTATTTATTTATGCATACAAAACTGGCATACAGGCCAGATGTGCAGGGGCAGTGAGAAGATTCACCAGAGATAGGGTGGGGAGCAGAACAGGCCGACTGGTGAAGCACACTGTTGAGGGGAGCAGCGGGCAGGCCACGAGAGGTCTGCTGTGCCATGTGGATCACCTCTGGGGCTGGAGAGCGAACTCATGCTGAAGTGGCTTTAGCTTTAACCCACTGAACCACCATGGAGGGCCAGCACTTGTCTTTTATTTGAGTTTTAGTTAGGTGGGTAACTTATTTCCCTACCTAGACTTTAGGGTACCTAAATCCAGAGCCTATAAATTAATCAACTTTCTGTCCTTCCAGTGTCTTATACAGAGTCTTACATGCAATAGAAACTTGAATACTTAGTGTTTTATGAACTGAGCACATTGATAATATTCAGCATTCTCACAGTAGGAATACTGACACTTTTATATAGTATCTTGAACAACTAGATTATGTTGTTTTTCTTTAGTCTATAAGTGTTTTCTTTATTCTCTAAGTGAAGGGTGAATACTAACTTAAAAGCTACTTTAACTATAAACTTGTGGCTTTTTTGGACATATTTAGATCTCCCAATCAAGTGAAAAGTTCACCGATGAAACCCCTAAGAGAACGCATCAATAAGTCACTATTGGAGAATAAAATTAAGGTACAATTTAATTTACTATCATGAAAGTGATAAAGTTATTTGTTTTCAGAATAAATATATAAAATTGAGCTGGATATTGTAAGTGTACAATATGTTTTATATGAAACAAAGGGAATTAAATAGAAAATGAGTTATGATGGTTGACCTACAGAAACCTCTTTTTATACATTCTTAGCTGATCTATCACCAGTCTATTCAATAAACTGTACCTTAAAGGAGGAAAGTATTAAGTACCTTCTATGGTAAGAGTTTAATAAATATCTGTTCAGTGAATGAAGGGGAAAATGAAGGAGATGTGATATTTTTATTTACATTTCTAATGTAAACTCAGTTTTGAGAAACTGGAATTTGTATTTGTCTGGAGTCATAGTGATGGAATGTTGTAATAGATTTAGACAAGGAGAACATTTCATATTGTTCATTGGCTAGAGCTGTTTATATTTTTACTTGGTTTGAACTGTTTTCTGATTCTCATTTGAAATATTTGTACTCGTAAGTAGTCAATAACTTGTTTTTCAGTGCTTAAATTTTTTTTGTTATTAATTTTCTAAAGGAAACTCAACCATAGCACATTCATTTACTCAACATTCATTGATTATCTATTCCATAGCAATAGATTATCAATTCCGTAAGCCCTTCTATGATTGGTAATTCATTCACTGTTTGACAAAACTTTTGTGCAAGATTTATAATTATCCTTAAGTTATCAATTATTCATCTTTACACTACTCTGAAAGTTCGAGTTTGTATGCTTTTTATACTACCATTTGGAAAGTCTTGGCTTGTAAAGAACTTTTAGTGATCATCTGTTTCATCTAATTATCCCAGACCCATTCAGTTTATTTATAAGTCTTGTCTTTCTGTTTGTTACTAGTAGTTGCTAGTAATTAATACATCATTGGGTTTTATGTAGTTTTTTTGTGAATAAAAATTTGTCTCTCTTGTATTAACATAATTATAGTCAAGACTTAGCACAATGTCAGCTGAGTTCCGCCATGAAAATTAAAGACACAAACTGTGAGGAATGAATTTTAGAAAATTTACTCAGTGATAGGAAAGCACAGAAGCTCCCTGTGATGACAACGAAGGGGCCCCTAATGCAGGTTACCCCCCAAATACTCATGTCTAAGGTCTTTTATACATAATATAGCCTGCGAAAGGGCCTCTGTTGAATACACAGACCTGGAGGTAGCCTCCTGAAGATTAGCACACAGGCAGCTGGAAACAATGGATTAATCCATGCAGATGAAAACAAGAGTCATCCTCCTCTCCTGCTTTCTTCTTACCGAGATTTTAGACTGTCTCCTGCTTACAGGCAGGCACAGGGCCTATAATTTTCCAATCTCTGGTAACTCTTTCACTTTCCACTTTCCCACTACCCTGTCTTCCTAACCAGAATATGTTGCAAAGATATATTTTTTTTAGAAGCATGTGCTGTGATTAGAGGCACTGCTATAATATAAGAACTCTGTAATTTTTACCCTGCTATGCATACTCATAATAGATTTTATTTAAAGATCACATGGCTATTTTGTTAGAACCAAATATATCAAAATGAAAAAAGTTTACCTGAAGCAGGATAAAATTACTAAAATGTATAGACAAGGTTAGAAAATTTGAGATAATAGAAGAGAGATCATCTAATCTATCTCATTTACAGGGAAGGATGTCAAATTCCTGAGAAGGCTGCTAGGTGAGGTCTCCTGACTACCAAGAAATATCTTGTGCCAGTGTGCACAGTCATAGTTTAGTACTAATGACACTATAATTACATGGCTCCCGTTACTTATAGTGGAGCTGCATTAGACTACATAATTCTGAAACTAAATGACAAGAGAAAGGATTTGATGCTTATGACTATATTTTACAGTACAGTCCTCTTTGTAAAAACAAAGTGTGAAAATAATTAGTTTAGCCAGGTATATAGCTAACCCATTGCCAAGTAGAGTACTTGTTGGAATAAGAAAACTTATTGCTAATATTTGCTCCTAAGTAACTATGGAAAAGTAGTTTAACTTATTTTCCTGTTACTTTTGCTCTTTTGGCATAGGATTCTTTTTTTGAGTTATGGAAAGAGTACATGATCTACACTTAAAATACTGTCTTGGAAAAGGGCACCTCAGTGGTAGAAAATATTAGAGAATTTAGAATTTTGATGTAGGTGATCTTGATTGTGAAGTACATATGCTATTCAGTAAAGTAAAGGAAATGACACTGATGTCTTCATCAGTGGATTGTTAGATATATTTATAAATTAAATTCATAAGCCCGTTAGGATAGCAAGTCTCTGTTACTTTGAAAATATGATAAAGTATGATGAAAAAGATGCCTTTAGAATATTTATTTTTGGTTACCTATTTAATATGTATGTAGAGAATAATTTCCTTTTTCAAATTGTTGATAAATTTATCAGTATAGTAGTAATTTAGAACTTTCATTTTCTTTTTAATACAGCTAACTCTGAGGGTGTCTGTGACTTTTCAATATTTTGACTCATTCGTCTTAATTTTACTGGAGTCAAGCTTTCCTATGTGAAGTATTATTTTCCTCAAACTGGGAATCTACTAATAATTTCAAATTTAAAAAGAGCTTGTGGCAAAGGGACTTTTTCAATTCTTGGCAAGTTTGAAGTTCATTGCAATTTTACTGTGGATAGAAATCTTTCCAAAGGGGGAGAAATCACTCTACAAAGGAAAACTTTCAATCCTTTTCTCATGTGACTTGAACTTTTAAAATGATTTTAACAGCCATGTATGAATCTGGACATTATTCTTAGTTGTTTAGTACTTCAAAAGCACTTTCAAGGGGGAATTATTTTGCTTATTTGTGATTCCAAATCAAATACACAGAGATTTGGAAGATTTGCAACAGGAAGTAATCTCAATTCTATGTAGCCACTAATCTTGTGCAAAAATCCCAACTTTTATGAACAAAGGAAAAGCAATCTCTTTTAAGTTATAAATACAACCAGTGTAGCATTGTTTTAATAACTAAAACGAAGAAACTGATTGTAAATTCATTTTTTGAACAACATTTCTAGAGAATTGACCCTGTCAGCTTTCCTACTCTATAGGAATATTCTATATTTCATTAATCACTACATGGAATTAACATATCTCTAGAGCTTATGTGGCCCTTTCATATCTTTAGCTTCATTTAAACTTGACAGTTCTGTCAGGTAAATGCTACACTGTAGATAAGTGAGAGATTTATACCTAGAGTCATTTGATTAGTAAGGGAGAGAGGGGCCTCCTTGGTGGTACAAAAGCACAGATATCAGAGGTGCAGAGGGTGAGGGGATTCACCAAAGACAAAAGTAGGGAGCAGAACAGGCGGACTGACTGAAATATACTGGGGGGGCAAGCGGGGGGGAGCAGGGGCTGACACAGGTGAGGTCTATTGTGCCTTGTAGGTTAGCTTCCTGACCAAGATTGAGCTTGTACTGCAGTAGCTGATGATAGCTTCATAGTGCTGAGACTTAATCCCTTGCTTTGATGAAGCAGCTAGTGTGATTAATCTAATTTTTCTTACCTCTTTACTTTTTCACCACAGTCAGTAGATTTCACTATTATTCCATAGCCATTATGTTTATCTGAGTTAATGCTAATGTAGTGTTAATGTATTAATGTAGTAACCTCTGGGTACATAACAGGATATATATCTACCTTATAGATATCATTGTGCTGTGTTAGGCTTTATGAAGTATATCAAATACTCTGTAAGAAATGTCCAGTATAGTGTAGTATACTTTAAATATTATATTTAAATTTTTTTGAAGTCCATTTTACTTAATCATATATTTGAAATTTTGAACTTATATTTTTGAAAAGTTTCTGAAAATTATCTGATATGGAAAGACTTCTAATTATTTGGAGATATTTTCCCTTTTAACTTGAATGGCATTATTAACCAGCTGTAATTTTTGAATTGTATTGTCTGTCAAATTACTTTGTTTTGAAATTAATATCTGTCCCTAGAACATAGAACAGCCACTGATTCTGTATTTACAAAATACATTTTTTAAAAGATTTATTTATTTATGCATACTGAACTCAGGTGCAGTCCAGAGGTGTGGTTAGTGAGAGGATTCACCAGAGACAGTGGGGGGTAGAACAGACAGATTGACAAAGTACACTGCTAAGGGGAGCAGCGGGTGGGTCAGAAGAAGTCTCTCAAGCCATGTGAGTTAGCTCCCTGGCTGGGGATCGAACTTGTGATGCAGCGGCTTCAGAAAGCTTCATAATAGGGTGCTTTAACCCCTTGCACCACTGGGGAGGGCCCTACAAAATACATACATGAAACTACCTTCTTGTCGTCTATTTAGTGGTTAAGAATTAAAGTTAGCAGTCTGATTTTCTTCTATAATTATGATGTTTAATGGCAAAGACAAGAGTGTATTCTGTATTTTTGACTTTAAATCATTTGGTCAGATATTCCTAAAATGATACCTTTGAACATTCTTTATCTCTCTTAATGTTCAAGGTTTGAATAAAAAATATCTTTCAGTTACCACTTATCTTTCAGCTTATTTCACTATTAGTTTCCTATTTTTGTAACTTCATCCCTTATTTTTATTTTTTGTTTTATTGTTTCTTCTTTTCTTTTCTCTCGGTTTTTTGAATTTCACATGCTGTTTTTTTTTCCCTAAGAGAACTGCTATGTAGTTCTTCAAATGATGAATATGTGTTTTCCTGTGGATGAATATATATATATATATATATCTCATGTATTATTTTTATGCTTCTAATAAAACTTTCTTTCCAAAATAACTCAGACACATAATGTGTGACAACACAGGCCACAGGCCTCTGACAAGTCTAGAATAGATTTTTTCTAAATCGTTACCAAAAAAATATCAAAAGTATACATAAAGCTTAACCGAAAAGAACAAAGATGCTAGTCATAGCAATAAAAGAATTTGTAAACTACGAAGGGTTAAAAATTCCTAATGAATTTTTAAGGGAAATTTTTATGATACCATGATTACTGTAGAGTATGTTTCTCTCTAGATGAAAAAAATAAATAAGTATAGAGAATAAGTTGTATGTTTTCTTCTTTCTACTTATTACCAGATGAAGCAATCCTTAATTAGATCACAGTTTGCTTGTACCTATAAAGATGACTTCATTATAAACAAGGATAAATCGCATAATGCTAATTCATCATCAAACCTTGTACATGTTCTTCCCATGGAAAATGATCTTTCTGGTAACTGACTTTATTTGAACAATTAATAATTTAATTCTATCTACTAATTGATTTTAACTTAAATAATTTTCCCCCACTAAGTGTGAAATATAAAATATAAAGGCTTATATTTTTAAATATAAGGGTTTGCTTTATTTTGCTTTTTGAGCTGTGTTTAAGTTAGAGCTTTATGCAATTTTATGGATAGGAATGTTTGATTTTTAACTAAATATATTTAAGTATAATTTGTAGCATTTAAATATTAAGTGTTAGGCATTTAAGTAATGCAAACATTTGTAGGGATGAAAAGGGTTGTAAAATCATCTGTGGTTAGTTGCACATTAAGGTGTGATAAAGTAGTAGTAATATAGCTGTATTTGTTAATCATATCACTGATAGCATTTCAGTGCAAATCATGTTTTTAGTAGTCTGAGTCATTTTAAAACTTTATTGTAAAAATCTCACTTGTAATACTACATATTATATAATTTTCTTTTTTCATCTTACATCACAGATGGTGTAAATTTTTCTGTTGAAAGACCAACAATTGGAACAAGTGCTGGAGTTGTTCATCTGGACAGAAGCAAAAATGAAAAAGTAGCAAGAAAATCAAGTAGTCTGACAGGAAATAAAAGCTCAAAAAGGAAACAGGTGGATTTGGATAATGAAAATATTGTGGGTGATAATGAAAATGAGCTACCACCTCAACATAAAAATGTTAAGATACCAAAGGCATCAAACAATATGCAGAATAAATTGGGTGTCAAACTAGCCAAAGTAGCAAAAAGCAGCAAGTGTTCTGCCAAGAACAAATTGATAACTGGCCAGACAAAGTTAACTCAGTTTTTTAGACTATGAATTTGGCTTTTTATGTGCTTTAGGTTTATATACATATATCTGTATATGTAAATAAAAATATTCACTAAAGAGATATACTTAGTTTTTAAGATATCAAGCTATAAATTACAATGATTTGTCATTTTGGTCTGGAGTATGTTTAAGGTTAGCATGTTAGGCATTATTTAAAAAAATACTAGTAAGTCATAATTATGCAGAATATTCACAAAGTTTAATGCACAGGTAAAGCATATCATTTAAGTTAATTCACATTTTAATAATACTTCTTTTGAGAACAGAGATTTTAAAATAATACAAGTTAGAGTAACATTAAGGGCTTTTTCCCCCATAGACAATTAAATGATTTTGTTTTCTTCTGGAAAGATGATGTGGACCAGCAGGTATCAGACTTGCCAACAAGGTCGATAGACTCTTCCCAGCATGCACCTGAGCACTGATAAGAAAAAAAAGTTTATATTGTTTAAAATAGTATTATCATGCACACTTGCAGGATATAAAAGAATGGTTTTAATATAATTCTGAGTAATTAAAGTTCCAATAACTAATTAAATGCATTTGAATCCTATATCTTTGGCAGGGGCACTTAATATTAAGTATAACTGAACTATGATCCCACTTGATTTTGTTATGATTAGGTCTAAATTCATTTAAATTCAGAGTTCTATTTTATGATTTTAAGATAAAACATTAAATTTTAAAAAGACTACTCACTGTCAAAATCTCTCCTTCCTATGGGAAATTTAGCTGAGTTTTCTTCATCCCCAATTTCTCTCTTTTCTTGTGTTGATTCAATATTCTGAACTCCATTTTCAGCTGGAAAAACTACAGATCCTTTTAGTGCAAGATAAGGTTTTAGAGCCAGATTCAGTGGTAGACCATGATTTAAGAAATTATGTTTGGCACCTGCATTCTGTAAAGAAAAGGTTGATTTGTGTTTTAGCTGTCTTATTGGGAATGGAACTATTATGATACAGTTTATGTAATAATTTCATTGATCATGATACAATTTGTGTAATACTTTTATTGATCAATTCAAAGATGCTCTGCACTTTTTCTACTATAAAAATACCTTATAATACAACTTTTGGGGAGGGGGAGACAAATCCATTTGGAGAAAGAGATTGTTTAGGATGGAAAAAAATAGCGTGATATAAATGAAATTTCATCATTTAATTGTCCTAATGTATATTGTGACTATTTGTCCATATTCTGTGAAGCATTAACTTTACTTTTAAAACATTCATAAAAACCACTCAAATTTCCATTGAAATAAAGAACAAGTCACAATGCCACTTACCTTTGAATTTTTGTTCTCCTCATCATTCATGAAGCTTGTCTCATCATTTCTATATTGTTCCAGGGGAGGTGCAACAACTGATTTTTCTGCAGTATCTACCTTCTGAAAGGCTTTCCCCAGCCTAAATGTATTGAATACCATGTCATCTTCTAAATTTCTTACGGACTTGGATGCTGAAAGTAAAATGCCTTGAGAAAGCAGAGAAAAAGTTAGTATTAATATATAGAAAGAGAAACTCATTTTTGCCATTCTTAGTTTGATGTTTGCATAGAATCAAACAAGGATGTATAAAATGAAATAATTCTCAATCTGCTTTATAAATGATTTCTACCTTTATATACTTTCCAGTTTGAATACAAAGCACTTCAAAGGCTTAGCATTTTAGAAATGACTCATCTTTTGTATATTGCTAATACCTATGTTGTTTTGGTTTTAGTGGTACATTGTTTATCTTGAGTGTGAATTTTCTTAGAATCTGAGTTAAGATCCTTGGTATAATGCTTTCTGTTGAGTAGATTATAGTCTCTTGAAAATGGGTTGCTATTAAGGAAAACCACAGGACATCAGGCTTTCTAGATCCTATTGCTTCCTCTTGTATATTTTGTGATTAAGTAAGATACTAACAGTGAAGTTATTTCATTCAAGGATATTAAGGATAAGCATTTTATTTACTTTTAATCCTGATTACATTGAAATAATCTTTAAACTTGATTTTCTTTTATAAATGCTTGACATAGTCTTTGATGATCATAGTATGTGCCTATCAATATTAACAAAAAAATCATCTGTGCTTTATCTAAAATTGGCCTGCCAGATGTGTTTTATTATTGGATTTAGGAAAGAATATTATTTATTAATGAATTTAACTATTAATGTTTCTTCATGTGAGCCTGTATTGCTATATATTTTCCTCTTATAACTGCTTTTAATGTGTCCCATATGTTTTGGAGACTTATGTCGTTATTGTCATTCGTCTCCAGGTATTTTTTAATTTCTTCTTTTATCTCCTCATTGATCCAACGGTTCTCCAGTAATGTGAGTTTCAGTCTCCACGTATTAGGTGGGTTCTGTGCCATCTTCATATGGTTTATTTCTAGTTTGATTCCTTCATGGTCAACAAAAATAAACAACCCCACCAAACAATGGGCAGAAGAGCTAAAAGACACTTCTCCAAAGACGAAATGCTGATGGCCAACTAGCATATGAAAATATGTTCAACATCACTTGTAATAATGGAGATGCAAATTAAAACCACAATAGATACCACCTCACCCCAGTGAGAATGGCACACCAGTGAGAATGGCACATCTTAAAACAACTAGCAACAACAAATGTTGGCTAGGATGTGGAGAAAAAGGAACTCTCCTGCACTGCTGGTGGGAATGCAAACTAGCACAACCACTATGGAAAACCTTAAATTGCTAAACATGAAGCTTCCATATGACTCAGCAATTCCACTCCTAGGTATTTACCCAAAAGACACAAAAACACTGCTTCAAAAAGATACCTGTGCCCCCATGTTTATTGCTGCTTTATTTACAATTGGAAAGACATGGAATCAACCCAAATGCCCAAAAGTGGATGACTGGATAAAAAAGATGTGGTACGTAGACACAATATTAGTCAGGAACCAAATAAATAAATAAATAAATAAACACATGCATTTAGCAGCAACATGGATGGAGCGGGAAAAGGTCATGCTTAGTGAAATAAGCCAGAAAGAAAAGGAAAAATACGGGATGTTTTTACTCATAACAGCAGTATAACAGACCAGGTGAGGAATAATAATAATAATGAACAGCTATATACCAGAGACACATTAATGGGGTGAAGTGGGGAATGCGATCAAAAACAGTGGGGGGAGGGATGTGCACTGAACTATGGTGATGGCACATGGGTGATTTGGTGATGGGAAGCCCAAGGGGATTGATTACAACTGAGATGGGAAAAGGTACCAAATGGCTTAAAAATAAACTTTTATATTATTAAAATATTTTTTTGACCTTTCCTAATACTGATTTGTACAAAGACAGGCTTTTCTGGAGTGCGCTTATATACAAAAAACTTCCAAATTCTTTTTTAATTCCAATAGTTCATAAATATATTAATTCTTGGGATTTTCTATGGAGACAATTGATATAAGTAATAGAACAATGGTATTTTACTTTTTTCTTGCAAGACATTTTGCATTTTTGTATATTTATGTGTGTGTGCAAACAAAAATCTCCAGTTAATGTTTGCAAAGGAGGTAAGATATCTTTGCAGTATTACTGATTTTGCAGGTTTTACCATTGAGCATGACGTTTGCTCTAGGATTTTTATAGATACTTGTAATTTGCAGGACATCTCTGCAATTTCTTACCTGCTAACATACCACAAATTATTTAATCTTATTGACTATCTTTTCTTCATTTATGCAGACAATCATGTAGTTTTTTCCCTGATCTTTAGTAAGTGAGCAGATTTTTCTCTTGTTAACCCAACTATATGTTCATAAACCATAAGTTTTTTTTTTTTTTTTTAGTTTATTTATTTATGCCTACAGAACTGGGGTACATGCCAGAGGTTTAGGGACTGTGAGAGAATTCACCAGAAAGTGTGGGGAGCAGAACAGGCCGACTTACGAAGTACACTGCTGAGAAGAGTAGCAGGTGGGTCACCTCCCAGGGTGGAGATCGAACTCATGCTGAAGTTAATGCTGTGCATTAACCCGCTGCACCACCAGGGATGGCCCATAGACCATAAGTTGAAAAAGTATTATTGGATCCACTTTGGCAATATTTGATTTAATACATTTTGCATTTATTATGGTGATTCATTTTTTAATTGTGATTTTCTTTTGCAGTAGTTAGTGGGACATTCAGCTTCTGATTCTTTGTTTCTAAGTTATTGGTTATTGAATTTATCCATTTTATTATATTTTACAAATTTGGTAAAGTTATTAATAATATTCCTTCAAAATAACTTAAAACTTCCTCTGCCTGTATTTGTATTTCATTATAATTATGGATATTTATTATTAGTCTGTTTTTCCTCTGTCCCTCTTCTTCGATCAGTCATGTTAGAGGATCATTAATTTTGATAAGCTTTCAAAAAGGAAAGTTTCAAAAAACTCACCTTTTGGCTTTACTTTCTAATTAATTGCACCTTTTTATCTTTATTTTTTGAGGTTTATTTTGCAATTTTTCTAGCTAAAACAGTAGGGCTAACATGAATATTTAGAGCTTGAAAAATAAGTATTTAAGCCTATACATTTCCTTTTATTTCAAGTTGTTATATATCATTTATTTTCTAAGCTCTATAGTTCTGATAGGTAGAATATCTAGTGTTTAATTCTAAATTGTTTATAAAAAAATTTCAATTGTCAGGTTAAATATGTTGTTGTCATTAGGGATTTTTAAGATAATAGATATCTTCTTTCCCCTTCACTTCCCAGACAAACCCCAATCCTACTGGATTTTTTTCTAATTTTCTTCCTTATTGCAGGTGGTGGGTCCCATATCTATGTGGGAGTTTTTGCTCTGAACTTTCATTTTACATGGATCTTAACCTTTGTCTTCTGCCCCAGAACATACAGATCATTAAAACCAGTTGCTAAGCTGCCAGGAATCCACAGACATTTTTGGAGAAAATGCCGCCTCTAATCCTTGTTAACACCTGTGAATTATTGTACTTTCTCTTTTATAACCTCCTAAAATTTCCCTTAATTTATCATCAGCTCACCCATACTTAGAAAATATGTTCTCATGTAGCATTTTAAGGTACGTTTTTATTGAGAGGTAGGTCTTTTCTATACAAGTAGTTTGCCATCTTATTGGAAATTCACCCTTCTTAAACAGAATTTGAATCCATCTTCAACACCTAAAATTGTATGTATCACTTGTTATTTCCTTTTTAACTCTTTTTGCAGCACCATATTTCAAGTTCTTAATACTACTTAATATTCTGATTTCTAGAAATATCTCTTGTCAAGGATGGGAGTAATTGGTTGATTCTCTTGGGACTATTTAAATCTTATTAAGCAAATATTTTCTGCAAATAACTCCAAAATCCTTTGACTTGTTCTCTTAGAGCTTCTTCATCTTTCTGATGTTGTTAGATATGCCTTGGTTTGTTTCCCAGGGTTTGAACCTATGTTGGAGGTGACTGTCTAATCTGTAACTTCTTGTTAATGGTAACATTTTTTTCTTAGCTGCTGCTCTGAAAGTGTAATAAATATTAATAATTATGTATTTTGTTATAAATTTCCACTAGATGAATTGGTTTGGCTGATCTTCACACCAAAATGGGACCAAATTCAAACCATTTTGACAGTTAAGAAAAGTTAATGTTTTCCTTTATTTTGTTTAAGCTGTCATTGCCTCTGAACAGTGTGAGGGTTTCCCATAACCATTTAATTATGGAGATAGCTTCCAATTTTTTTTAATGATAAGTTTTTTTAAAAATCATTGGTTACTCTGATGTGCAATGGAGCATAGTAGATTTCTTTTCCATTGATGCTGAAAATTAAGTGTCCCAAGTGGTAGAAAAAAACTTTGAAAAAGAATAACTATTGCCAGAAGGGCTTGGGTGGTTCGGAAAACCTTGGAAAGGGAAAAGGTTTATTTCAAATACGATCTTCATTTTCTGAAAAGCTACTATTATTAACACCACATATTTGTAAATCATTTTATCAAGCTTACCTTTCCTCCAGTTGACATATCTTTGCCTTTGTAATCCCAGTAAATTCCTTGCAGATGAAATGGGGTGTGGTCAATGGTTTACTGAGATCCCTGGGTTTCTTAATGGCTGTTTTTGTAAGTGTAAACTCCAACATTGGTCATTTATAATGTCAAAAGACAGAAGAAAACTTGGAATTTCTTCTTAAATTTATATACTAATTTATACAGTGATCAACCTAAATACCTATACCTCTATTCAACCATTAAGATTTTTTTTTAAAGATTTATTTATTTGTGCATACAGTACTGGGGTACAGACCAGAGGCTCAGGGGCAGCGAGAGGCTTCACCAGAGACAGAGTGGGGAATAGCAGAACAAGCAGATCTGCGAAGTACACTGCTGAGGGGAGCAGCGGGCGGGTCAGGAGAGGTCTGTCATGCCATGCAGGCACCTCCAGGGCAGGTGGCAGGCTGGAATCAAACTCATGCGGAGGTGGCTTTAGCTTCTCAGTGCTGTGCTTTAACCCACTGTGCCACCAGGAAGGGCCCTCAACCATTAAGATTTTAATGTACTTGTTTCATAATCTGTTTCAGTTCCTCCATTAACCATCTTACACTTTTAATGAATTTCAAATGATTACATACATTGCTACACCCAATGAAAGATTTCTTTCATTTAGCAGATTTGACATCCATCTATGTTGTGTGAATAAGTAGCTATTTGAAATTTAACACTGTTTGA